GTTTAGGGATTACTTTGAGAATACCCTTTGGCAAAATCTGATGATGTTGTTGAGAGGAAACGAAGCTGGGAGTTTGGTACCGGAATATCCCTTTGTTGGTTATCTTTAATTTGCAAGTGTTCTTGGAGCTGCCACCGCGAGGGAAGGTTGAAGTTTTAGTTCTTTTTCTTTCCAAAATCTCAGATGGAACTTTATTAAGGTCAAGCAGCTTGCGATTTCCGCGTTTTCTTCGTTCTGACCAGAGGAGGAGTCTTGTGTTCTTGCCCAATTCGTTTCCATACTGATCACACAACCTTTGCATCTCGGTGAATGTCTTGACCAATTTTTCGTGATAGGACTTTAGAGAGTAGTAATACACTTTCCTCTTGAGGAATATAACGCCTTCTTTGGAGCAAGATACCTTTGGAGTAAACAATCCTCCTCTCAGTTTCTTGTAAAACTTATCCACTGGATTCCCAAAACATAAATTGGCACCACCAAGAAGTTCCTGCATCGTTAGACTAAATGTCTCTCGATCCATATCTGGCAGAAAACATGAGAGGAAGAATCTTTCTTCTTCTGTCAGAACTGAGTTCCATGTTTCGATAGACAATACCCCCGTCAAATCTGGTAGATCATAGACCTCGTATGGTATGTTACAGAGCTGACCTTCAACCATAGCTAACTCACAGTTTGCTTCCGCAATGTCATAGTCATCAATGTCATCTTCAGAGTCTACCCCAATCGTTTGATTCTTAGTCATCTCTCCACCCTTAGTATTGTAATGACCGATGGCCTCACTGTAATGACCATTTACCATTAAGAACACAGATACGCTTAATCTCTAACCACAAGCTCGGTTTCAAGGACCACAAACAAGATACCTACATTTAAAGAAGTTAAAGGCTCGTTAGCAATTTGCAGTACAAGTTCCTGCGATAGACAGCGAGAAGCCGAAGATTCTAGTAACAGACTGTTATCCGAAACCTGCTTCATGCTCAAACAAAATGAACTATGAAATCCAATTCACACATTCAACGATTTCAGCAACAGTACCAAAAGTTCTAATAGCTTCGTTTAGTTACTTAATTCCATAGAGAAACACACACAAAAATATACATCTATAGATCTAATCATCACCAATACCACCAATTTCCCGTAAAACTCATGAATCCAAAGGTTGAGCAGTGAAGCAACAAAACCACTCAAAAGAAGAAATCGTAGAGCCAGTGTAAAGAGATTCAACCCAGACAATCTCCCAGCTCGAATCAGCTACAAAGCTTAGATACAATCAATCTCGGATTCAATCAACAGAAATCATACGAACCAGCTATCATAAACTTGTTTTTCGAAAATCCAAAGCACGAACAATTACAGAACGCAGACCCTAGGATTTCACAACCGAAATGTGGAAGAAATTACAGAAAATTTTTGAATATAAAACCCAAAACAATCATGAAAATCAACACTAATCGCCTCGATTCACCAGTAAACGAGAACTCCGACGAGTGCATACCGGAAACTAATCGCAAAACGAAGAAACCTCTCGCTATACAGAGAGAAAATCGAAATCCGAAAATCACCGGCTCTAGAGGAAATGATCAATCTAGGGTTGAAGAAACCAAAAATCTCCGTTTCGCTGCAGATACGAACGAACTCTTCATCATCACCTTCGAAGCTTTTCTTTCTCTGCTCCTTTTTCTAGAGATTTCTTAGTATTGTTTAATGCGCTTTTTCGATGCTTCAACGCCACAGTGCAGAGACTAAATAGAGTATATAACTGTTGGGTTACAGACTTACAGTCTATATTTCTTAATAATTTTTGTAATTAAAAGCCGCTTAAACTAATTTACCCCTTAATTACTTTAATTAATCATTTTAAAATTAGGATTGTGATAATTTATTAATCAACGGTCTATATTTCGGTAAGTAGATAACTTCAACGGCCAGGATCGTATGATCTGTTATTCTCTAAAATATAAGACTTTCTCTCTCTCTTCTCTCTTTATTTAATTAGATTAGATAAAGAAAACTTCCATTAGAGATAACTTCCAAAAGTCAGAGCAAATCATTGCTTGATTGTGAAAAATTCATTGAAAAATTCAGAGATTCATTCATGGCTGATAATTGTTTCAGACTCTACTTAGCCTCTGTTTTTTTGCTTTTTGTGATTATAGTTTCTTCATGCAATTTGCAGGTACCTTTCATAATCTCTGTTTGGTTACGAAGATCGATGATTAATTTTGGATTTTATCATTTGCTTAATTTGTTGCTCTTGAGTTTGATCTGGCTTTGTTTGACTATTGAAGCTACAAGTTTTTTTTTTTTTTTAAACTAACTTTGTTTATTTTTGGGTTTCTTGTTTGATTCAAGAATTTTGTTTTGGTGATGAAATTACCAATATTTATGATTTATATAAATTTTTTTTTTTTTTTTGTAACAGTGTATTGCTACAGAAAATCTTTCAAAGGAGAAACTTAACTCAAGGATTCTTCAGGTTTTGATCTTAATGAATCCAACCACTCTATATCAGTTTTGTTTCGTCTGTTTTAAGATTGTCTTAATGGTTGGATCTACTTTTGTCAGAATGAGATTGTGAAAGAAGTCAATGAGAATCCAAACGCTGGATGGAAAGCTGCGTTGAACAATCGATTTGCAAACGCAACCGTGAGTTTATTATCTTTTCAGAGCTACAAAGATTTGCTCTGATTGTTACTGATACTTGTCTTTTGGGGATTTTGTTGTATGTATGTGTAGGTTGCAGAGTTTAAGCGCCTCCTCGGTGTTAAAGAAACACCAAAGAATGAGTTTTTAGGTGTACCTATTGTTAGCCATGGCATATCTCTGGCTCTTCCGAAAGAATTTGACGCTAGAACCGTTTGGTCACAGTGCACCAGTATTGGAAGGATCTTAGGTCTGTTTTAGTCTCTTAGCTTCCATTATCAGTTGTTGTCAAAGATGATTTACTAACCCTTCTTATCTTTTGTGTCGTATCCTGTCCTCGATTATCGCACTAAAGATCAGGTAAAACTTCGTTTTTTGAGTTGGTTTGTAGTGAAGAATATAGTGTTCTTAGATCGATGAAATCATTTTGGTTGGTTTAGGGTCACTGTGGTTCTTGCTGGGCATTTGGTGCTGTTGAATCACTTTCTGATAGATTCTGCATCAAGTATAACATGGTAACATAAATCTCTATCGAGTCAAGATTGATGATTGCTAGCATTTTCTTCTTCGAAGATTAATATTAGTTTCTTCTGTTTCAAATGCAGAATATTACTTTATCTGTCAATGATCTCTTAGCATGTTGTGGATTCCTTTGCGGTCAAGGTTGTAATGGTGGATACCCAATCGCTGCCTGGCGGTACTTTAAACACCACGGTGTGGTCACCGAAGAGGTAAATTCTCATTTTAACTTCAAAGAAAACATATATACTGGATTTATTGGTTAAAATTTATTGAATTTTTTTGCGATGTTATTGGTTTTTCAGTGTGATCCATACTTTGACAATACCGGTTGCTCTCACCCGGGATGTGAACCCGCATACCCTACACCAAAATGTGTGAGGAAATGTGTTAGCGGAAACCAGCTGTGGCGTGAGTCAAAACACTATGGTGTTAGCGCGTACAAAATCAGAAAGGACCCTCAAGACATTATGGCGGAGGTATACAAGAACGGACCGGTCGAGGTCGCCTTTACCGTTTACGAGGTAAATAAAAGGATTTAGATTGATTAGAACATAATGGTTGTATCATGGAACTCCACATTTCATGGATCTTTTTGTTCTACAGGACTTTGCGCATTACAAATCTGGAGTGTACAAGCACATAACGGGTACTAACATTGGAGGTCATGCGGTTAAGCTTATTGGCTGGGGCACTTCTGATGACGGCGAAGATTACTGGGTATGAATACATTTTAACACTTTGGATTTCTGAGTTTGGAAAATTCATAACATTCTTTGTTCTGAATTGTTGCAGTTGCTTGCAAATCAATGGAACCGAAGCTGGGGTGATGTAAGTTCTTCTTCTCTCCGTATCAAACTTTTACTTCTGATCTTCTAAGGACCAACATTCAAAATCCAAAAAAAAAACACCGAATCAGACATGTGAATTGTAATAATTTCAGGATGGTTACTTCAAGATCAGGAGAGGAACAAACGAATGTGGCATCGAACACGGTGTTGTAGCCGGTTTACCTTCAGACAGGAACGTATTCAAAGGTATTACCACTTCAGATGATCTTCTGGTTTCTTCATTTTAAACTAAAAATCAGAAATAAAGATGTGTGTATCTACTCTTTGTAAGATATAATCTGCCACTGTGTTGTTGTTTCAAAATGAAAGAATATATATATAGCTTTTAGCTTTTGTTCATATTCAGTTTTACATTGCTTCTTCTTGTACGTTCTAATATCTATATTTGCTTCTAGTACATTCTCATTTCTACTGTTTTCATTCTGCACTATGTGTGACTAATGGTCCATACTTGAGATTTCTCAGTTTACTAGATTGTTCGGCGATAAGCCGAGCAGTAGTATTCGGACCTTCGTGCATAAAAACCTCGTACCCATCACCTAGCAGACCTGTTCTATTGGTTGTAAGTTGCCAGAAAACTCCACCAGTACACGAACCACCGGTTCTTGCACTGCTGTAGATCACATCATAGACTTTCTTGAAAAACTTGTTCCGTTTCTCTAAGCTGAAACCAGGTACCTTTGAAGATTTCCCAAACTCTGCTATCAGTAAAGGCTTCTTGATGATATTGTCGCAGTCTTCGATGTGCGCGCCGATCCATCTGTCCACAAATGTATCTTGTTCTCCTGTTCTTGAGCTCTGTAACGGTACCCTGATCTCGATGAAACAGAGACTGTTTAAAAGAGAATACAAAAAGACCAAACTTTGTTTCCTTTGAAATAAAGACTGATGATGATGACTTACCAAATATCTGGATAGATATGGATAGTGGCGAAATCGATCTCCGGAATTTGGTTATTTGATATGAAATCTGTACCGGTTGAGACAGCACCGCCGGGGTTGTAAACGGTTCTTTCGGGGTTAGACTCTCCATAGAACCCTTCAAGTCCTATTTCAAGTAAATGGTCCGAGTCTATAGACTTAACATAAGTAGCCATTTCCTTCACCCAGTTCTGTACACACAAAAACGACACCGTTTACGTATACGTACAAATTACATTATACGAATGCGAGAGAAGAAGAGGAGAGAGAGTTACCTGTAGAATAGTAGAACCATTAGATGCGTAGCAACGAGGTTCATTGATAAGTTCCCATGAAAAGATGGTTGGGTCGTCTTTGTAACTTCGACCAGTGATTGTGTTTTTCCGAGTCAACACGGTCTGTTTCAACATTTGGTCAAACCGTCGGTTAAGTTCGGTTGTGAAGTCGGCACGAATATATTACACTATTCTAGATCTTTATCCTTTTGTAAAATACACTTTAATTTGAAGACATTTGTCATTATTAAGTCAATAAACATTTTTGGATTGGTATATTTGTCATCTTGATTGATCTTTTTCAGTGGATTATATACTTTATAGCGTGTTAACGTGTACAAAGAATTCTCTCCATATTTTTGCCTTTGACGTGTCGTGTTACATATGATGATCTCGATTTATATAATAATATAACTGAATCAAAATATAGAAATTAAATTCTGAATCGTTATATAGATCGACTAACCTTCACGTGGTTCTTGTAGAATTGTTTGACAGCTGAGTTTGTGTAGAACTCATCCGGTTCATTTAAACCGGCCCATTCTACGTACTTTTGTCTCCCTCCATAATCTTCGTAATTATTGACTAAACTAATTATCAATTTAATTTTAAATCTTCCAGCTTCATAAACCACAAAGTCTAGTCCCTGGTCACAACAAACTTTGTATCAGTACCTCACAAAACGCAAATACAATTCGTTGTTGATTTTTTTATTAATCAATTATGTTCCCGAATAAGTCAACAAAAAAAGTATCTCGTACCAACTTATGCTCCTAATTACATAAATTTATCGAGAACTATATATTATTTTGTCTTCTTGCCATTATCGACTTCTTTTTTTTGGTAACGTGATAATCGACTTTATATTACCATGCGACAAGGACACGATAATTTTTTTCAAGAAAAAACAAAAGGTTTGAATTTCCTTTGTCGGAAAGCCATATTTTGAAATTTGAATTCTTCAATTTAGATTC